GGCAACTTCTGGAAATATGTTCTGTATACTCCAAGCCTTTTGCCTTTCTTAGCAAGGAAAGGAACTCTTAAGGTGAATATGGATGTGAAACTACATGCTTGACAGAGTCTTCTGCAAGTGAATTGTGTAAGACATGGCTATATTCCACTAATAAAGGACATCTCAGAGGTTTGGGTATTATGCTTTGTAATGGTTGTACACCTCCATGTTTTATCTACAATGAATGTTACTGGATGATAGTGCCATGCATAACAACACAGGCATCCATAATGTCAAAATCTAGTGATATAATCACCCAAATTATGCAATTATGTAATTGTAACGACATCTGATGGAAGCACATATGTCATAGCACTTCTGTGGTAACTTCATAATGGACATGTCATCATTTGCCCCTTCCCCCACTCATCCACAAACACCTATTCTTGACAGCATTATACTCCCCAAGTAAGTATTGGCCAAAGAGGAAGCTATGGCATCTCACAGAGGTCACTCTTACTGAGATTTGAATACATGTTTTAACATAGTCTGCACCTTAATTTTAGATACTCTCTCACATCCTTGTTTATGTACAAATTTCTATTATACATTCTAATACTCACATGCTATTCGGTAGGCTTAAAAACAACCACATAATAACAATAAATAAATAAATGTAATAAAATAAAATAAAATAATAATAAATAAAAATGATATCACAAAATGGTGAAAGGCTATTAGAGGATGCCCAGCTCCTATGGCAGAATTTAGGTGTAATCACTGAGAAGGTCCTTTCTCTAGATTCCATCAATCCACCAAAGCTAAGACTAAGAAAAGGGTGTGCCGAAGCTGATACAGGAGGAAGGAGAGGTCCCTCTGTTTTCCTGGACTAAAGTCCTTTCAGGATTTAAAGGATTTAAAAACCAACACTTTTTTCCTGGAAACAAAGTGATAACCAGGACAGCCCTGGCACATGTACAGTACAAAAAAACAAAACAAAACAAAAACCTGTATTGCTTTGGATTGGGCAAAGGATCCCTATTTACTGACTTATCCTTGAATTAAGGCTGCATTAATGGTGAATAATGAGGTGGGGAGTTTAAGACTTAGGAATTTTTGGAAACAATCTGTGCTCTCTCACTTTTTTTTAATAATAACTTTATTAAATTTTTAAAAATAGAAAGATAAAAACTAATGAATCAAGAAAGAGAATAGAATAAAAGAAAGAATAAAGAGAAAGAAAGAAAGCAAAAGTGCAGAAAAAGAAAAAGAAACTGAAATACAAAAAAAGAATGACTTCCAACTTCTTCTACGGCAGATATAAATAAAACATACATTAAACTCTTATTCTAAGATTTTAACTTAACATCCACTTTTTCCCTCTTTAGGTATTAGAGCAATATTAGCTTCTTTTCATGACTGTGGCATCCCATCTCATTGTAAAATAAAATTCATTGTCTTCTGGAGAGGCTGTAAAATTTCTTCCTCAAAACATTTATAATAAGACCCTGGTAATCTGCCCAGCCCAGGTGCTTTTCCTGGCTTAATCTTTTTTATAGCTTCTGAAAGTTCCATTATCATTATAGGCCGATTCATAGTCTGTCTTTATCTGTAAGCCATGGTAGATTTTGAACTTTTAAGTAATCATCTATTTTTTTCCAGAGAAACACCCTGTCTTTTATACAGATTAAAATAATACTGATGAAAAGCTTTTTTGTATAGCCATGTTATCTGTCACAACTGTATCTCCCTCTTGAAGCTTCAAAATCATCCTCTTTTCTTTCTCCTTCCTTAATTTATAAGCTAACCACTTCCCTGGTTTATTTGCAAATTCAAAATTCTTTTTACACAGTTCATTTTAGTTTCCATTTCTCTTACTGTCAACATGGATAGCTGTTGGTGTAAAAGTTTAATTTGATATGAAATATTGTCTTTGCTGGTGATTTAATTCTTCCTTTTTTCTTTTAATCTCCAAATAGCCTCTGTTTTCACTTTTTTCCCAAATTCAATATCTCAAACTGTTCTTAAATCTGTACCTTTGTTTAAATTGTTCTCAAAAAATTCTAGTAATTTCTTTTTACAGTTTTTAACTATCCATTCTTTTTGTAATAATGTTTCGTTTACTTCCCATCTAAAGGTAGTAGATTTCCTTTTAAAAGTCAAGCTCACCAGATTGTGATCAGAAAAAGTTTTTGGTAAAATCTCAACTTTAGTTGTCTTAGTAGTCAAATTTTTTGAAATACATATCATGACTATTCTTGAAAAGGATCTATGTCTTTCAGAACAGTAAGTATATTTTCTGGAACTGCCTTTTTTTTTTTTGGTCTCCATAAATCCACTAAGGTTAAATTGTCCATCAAATAAATAAAAAAAAAATTGGTAGTTTATCTTGAGTATTTTTAATTTTCTTCTCAGATGTTCTGTCTAATTGTGGAAAAACACCACTATTCCAATCTCCCATCAAATGCTAGTTCTCATATGAAAGGTTTATGGATTGTTCCATAAGTCGTTTGTAAAAATTGCCTTTATCTTCATTTGGAGCATAAAGTCCCAAAACAAAAGGTTTGAGCCCTTGTAATTCAATTTCCACCCCCATGAATCTGCCATGTTGATCAGTCAATATTAACTGTAGTTTTAAATGGGGGTTAACATATAAGACAACTCCATTAGGTTTTTTTTGGTCCTGTAAGATAAATTCTTCTCCCAAATTTTTACAAATTCAATACTTTGTATTTTTATTTCTAATATGAGTATCTTGCAAGCAAATTATATCATGTTTTAATTTTGTCCTTTTATATGGGGAATTTGCCCCATTTATTCCATATTCGACCTTTATAATCCATGGTTAAGCAAATAATTTAGAAAAATCTATACCAGTGGCACCAGACTCCAAATCATTTTTTTCAAGTTCTTCTGTCTGGTGTAATTTTTGGTCAATCTTCTCTGCAATTTCCATTTGAACCTCTTCCAAGTCTCCTTCATATTTTTTCAGAAATTCTCTAGCCTTTTGAACAGTATTCAATCAAAATCTTCTCTGTTGAAAAGTAAAAGTTGCACCCTCTAAATTCTCCCAATGGAATGGGGTCTTCCTCTGCTTTAAAATCTCAGTCAGAAAAAAAGTAATATTTTCTTTTATGTAAAATTCTAATAAGGATTTCTTTTAAAATAATTATATCTGCATTAACAATTTTCAATTTTGCTTTAAAATGCTGTAGCAGAACTTGATCTCTTGTTCTCCTTACAAAATGCAGTAAAACATCTCTTGGCACGTGTCTTATTGTAGCAAAACATGAATTAATTTGATACACTTTATCAATCTCCTCTCCTGTCTCTTCTTCTTTCTAGTCTAAAAAATCCAACAATGCCTGGACCACCTTTCTCTTAATATCTTCATTTGGAGTCTCTGGAATGGCTCTAAATCTCAAACAAAATTATTTCTCTCTCAGTTCCAACAAAGCCAAATTATCCATTCCTCTTTCAAATTCTATATCTCTAATGCCTGATTTATTCTCTAAGATTTCCATTCTATTGTTACTCTGTTTTATTTCTCCAGACATGTTTCATATCTCCAGACATTTGTTTTACAAAAATATCCATCTTGTCCAATTTTTCTTTCATCTTTTTTTCCCAAAAGTCATAAATTTAACATCCTATTTAGCATCCAATGACTGAGCCAGTTTAGATCCTAATTCATCAAACATTAATTTAATTAAATTAGCAGAGATTGGCTTATCTTCTCTTTCTTTATCTTCCCACTCTGATAGCTGATCAGAAGAGCTGATAGAGGCTCTTCTAATATCCAGTCAGGTTCTATGTGTTGCCATTATAAAAAGCTCCAAAGAGTAAAAATGTAGAGCAGAAAAGAGAAAGAGAAAATGGGGGGGGGGGGGGAGCAAGAAAAAAAAAAAAAAAAAA